GGGGGGGCAGGGCCGGCGCTGACTCTCTCCCCCCTCCCCCCCCAGGAGTTCATCGAGGAGATCCTCTCGCCCCCGTTCGGGGGGATGATCGCCTTCGTCAAGGAGTCGGAGTCACTCATTGAGAAGGGGCAGCTCGACCGGCTGCGTGGGGAGGAGGGTGAGACACGGGGACCCCCCGCCCCCCACACGAGGAGGGTGACAAACAGGGATCCCGTTTCTCCCCCCCCCCCCCCCCCGGCTACACCAGCAAGGGAGCTGGAGGGGTCCCTCGGCTGGCGGCGTGAGCCTGTCCCCGGTGCTGGGTTCTCTATACAGGGGTTCCCCAGAGTGGGGGGTGGTTCTAGGCTCTGCCCCCGCCCCGGTGGCACTGACCCCCCATCTCTCCCCAGCCCGGGTGACCCAGCTGGTGCGCGGATTCTCTACCACGTGGAAGGCCTCGGTGGAATCGCTGAGCCAGGACGTCATGAGATCCTTCAGCAACTTCAAAAACGGGACCAGCATCATCCAGGTGAGACGTTGGCAGCGAATCACAGAGCCGGGAGGCTGGCAGGGACCCCCAGAGGCCACCGAGTCCAGCCCCCTGTGCTGAGGCCGGGCCAAGTAAAGCCAGCCCCGCCCCCCCGGGAGCTTGTCCAACCTGGCCTGAAAAACCTCCAGGGACAGGGATTCCTGGGTGTGGGGGCTGCGCTGGGGCCCCAGCCTCCCCCGGCGCCTGGTCCAGGTCTTCGCTGCCTGGGGAGTTAGAAAACGTTTCCTCATCTCCAGCCGGACTCACCCCTTGCTCCGTGTCCCGCCTGCTGGGGCCACGGAGAGCAAGCGACCCCCGTCCTCGCTAGAACAGCCCGGGGCAGAGCTGAAGGCTGCTCTCAGCCCCCCCCCGGACTAACTGAGCCAGGTGGTTTTAACCTGTCCTCACAGGTCGGGGTCCCTAACCCTGTGTCACTTGTGTTCTCCTCTGGACTCTCCCACTTGTCCCCCTTATAGCCATTTCATGTAGCCCCCCCAGCCCCTGGCAGGGACGGACGTGAGGGGGGCTGGGATGTTCCTTAGAGCCCCATTACCCTGCAGCTGCTCCCCTCGTGAGGGACTGAGCACAGGGCGTGGCAGCTGTACTGGAATTGATGTTATGTATGGGGGGGGGGTCAGCCTGAGAGCCAGCTCCTGCCAGGTGGTGGTGACTGGAGTGCAGGGAGCTCCGAGGTCTGGGGGGAGGCGGCACTGCCTGGTGGGGGATGGACATGGGGTATTGGGGGGCTCTGACTCCCCCACTCTCCCCTGCAGGGGGCGCTGACCCAGCTGATCCAGTACTACCACCGCTTCCACAAGGTGCTGGCGCAGCCGCCCCTGCGCGCCCTGCCGGCCCGCGCCGAGCTCATCAACATCCACCACCTCATGGTGGAGCTGAAGAAACACAAGCCCAACTTCTAGGAGAGGGGAACCCACGGCCCCCAACCCTGCCCCCGGCCTGGGCGGGGGGGGAAATCGGCACAGCCCCCTCCCCCGCGTGGGCACAGGGGGGAGTGGAAGATCCTTGTCCCACTCTTCCCTTCTCCCCCTGCTGCTGTAACCCCCCGGGACCAGTCCAACCCCAGCGCTCCCCACCAACCTGTGGGGCCCCTATGGTTGGGGGGCAGCCCCAGGCTGTCAGCACCCCTCTCTGCCCTGCGGTGGCTCCCCTCGAGGGAGGGGGAAGGTGAGGGACCTGCAGGTGGGTGTCGGGGGGGCTCTCCCCTCCCCTCCAGGTGGCTTGTGTGTTTGTGTATCTGGCTTTGTACAGTGACAATAAACTCCCTGCTACTCACCAGCTTGTCTGGGACCCCTGGCATGGGATGGGGGAGGGGCAGAACAGCAAGGAGGACCCCCCTCCCCCATCCTAGCACAGGGAGGAGAGATGGGGTGGGAATCAGGGCCTGCGTCTGGTACCCGGCTCAGACACGTGCTCCGGCGGCCTGAACTCCCCCAGCTCCGACCAGCGTGTCCAGTTCACCCAGTACCTCCCCTCCACAACACGAGGGGGAACCAGGACTCCTGGGCTCTATCCCAGCTCTGGGAGGGGAGTGGGGGCTGGTGGGTTAGAACAGGGGGGTCTGGGAGCCCAGTTCTGTGAAAATGGAGCCCAGGCTCCTCCACCTTGCCCCCGAACCGCAAGAGACTCAGACGCTGATGCTTCAAAGACCCAAATTGCTTAATGAGCCACAAACAGCAGAACCACTTTGAAAAGCCCCCAAAGCGAATCCCACCCCCAGCATGGGGGGAAGCAGCAGGCGGCACCCCTGTGCAGAGGGGACAAAGCAGAATCTAGGGGTGCCCCTACACAGCCCCTTAGGGGCAGGCGTCTGTCCTGGGAGCAGCACCCCGTCCTTGGGGGGATGTTTCCAGCTTTTTGGGGGCCCTGCTTGGGCCCCAGCCCTGCCGGCTCCAGCAGCTGTACACGGGGGCGCAGCAGCAAGGCGATCGCCGGGCTGAGTTCCATGGGGGGACGGGTCAGTCCTGGTCAGAGGGGCCCCCCTACTTCTGCTCCTTGGTGGGGGCATAGTACAGCTCCAGCGGCTTGGTGACCTTCCAGAACTTCTCGTTCACCAGCTCCAGGGTGAGGGAGCCGTTCAGGGTCTGCGGGGAGACAGGGTTAGTGGGGGGGAGCGCCCTCTGCTGTCCCCACCCCCCCCACAGCCTCCGCCCCCCTACTACTGCAATGGGGCCATCCCTGGCTGCCAGGGGAGAGCGCTCCCTGCTGCCCCCGCCCCCCACAGGCCCCGCCCCCCACAGGCCCCGCCCCCCAGTGCTGCAATGGGGCCATCCCTGGCTGCCGGGGGAGAGCACCCCCTTGCTGACCCCCGCCCTGCAGCACAGGCCCCTAGCACTGCCCTGGGGCCAGCGCTGCCTCCCAGCCCCCGTACCGTGAAGGGCCCCCCGGAGGTGGTGATGTAGATCGTGTACTGCTTCTCGCTCACGTCCTCCAGGCCGGGGGCCTCGGGGCCAGGGGCCGGCGCCTCCTCCAGCGCAATGCGCAAGGCCAGGTACTTGGAGAGGTGGTCCACCGTGGCGTTAGCCGTCGTCTTCACGTATCTGCTGGGCATGGGGCAGGGTGAGGGGGATTGCCAGGCCCGGGGGGAAGTATGGGTGCTGGGGGGGAGAGGGCTGGGGGGCCCTGGGGGGGGGGGTTATGAGTGCCGGGGGAGGGGACAGCGGGGCAGGTCACTTTGGAGGCTGCACGTGGGAGAGGCACAATGGGGTGGGAGTGGGCAGAGCTCTAGGGGGCATGTGTGACAATGGGGTGCTGGACTTTTGTGGTCCCCAGGCTCTCCCCTCTGCTGCAGCTGGCTCAGGGGGATTGTGGAATGGAGGGGCCCCCGGAGCCTGGGTTCTCGAAGGGGGACGCTGGGGCTCAGGGAATGGATCAGCCCCCGGCTGCTCTCACCTGGTCTGGGAGTATTCCCCTTTCTCCACCAGCACGGGGTGGGGGCGGAAGACGAGTTCGATCTCGCTGCTGCCCGGCTCGGCGCCTGGCTCAGGGGTCCCGCAGCCCCCCCCGTCGTGCGAGGTCTCAGGGTCGGGCTCGGGCCCCGAGTCGTCGGAGGCGCGTGAGCGCTTGCGGCTCGGGCCGGCCTCGGGGTGGCTGGGGGCCGAGGCGTTGCTCAGATGGGAGCGGCTGTCGCAGTTGTCCTCCCCCCCGCTGAACGTGGTGTTGTCGGACTCCTGGTGCAGCTTCCGCACCCGCTGCGCCCTGGGGTGGGGGCAGCAGAGGGGGGTTATCTGGGGGAGGAGCAGCAGAGGGAGCCCGGGCCGGGGGGGGGGGGGGGGGGGGGGGGGGA